CTCCCCGAACTCCGCTTTCAGCCAGCCCTCCAAGTGAGCCGGAGAATACTTGCTGTCCCAGAATAGAGTCAAGGCGCATCGCCAGAACCGCCGGCCGATCGTAGTCCAGCCGAACGGGTAGCTGGACACTTCGCGCTGCTGGAACGTGTCTTGCGCCATGGCCTCGAACAGCTCGACGCACTCGTCGACGGATTTGCCGTCCGCAAGAGCGCACGCAACTATGGCACCTGAGTGTTGTCAGATGCATTCAGAGACAGCAGCAAGCAACAAACCTGATGAGGTGCCGAAGATTACGTCAAAATGATCCTGTACAGGGTATCCGCCGAGGCCGATCTTGTCTCTCAGCGCTTTGAGAGACGCGAGCGGCTTGCCAGCCCTCGCTCCTCCACCATCCACGCAGAGGACTCGAGGTAAGGCCGTTTCCGGCTTCTTTCGTATCCGCAGTGCCCCCTCTATTTCCTCTCCGCAGAGAACGCAGCGAGGCAGGTTCCGGCCGCTACAGCTCTTGACTGAGAAGTGGTCGTAGCAGGCCGCGCATATCCAGTGTTTGCACGGCAGCTCGTGTTGCGGGCGCTTCTTGAGGCAGCTGAAGCATGTATCAGAGGAGCGGATCTTCTTCCACCTTTGCTGGAATGAGATGAGCTTGTCGGCATGGTAGAGCAATGCTGATCGGCGTTGCCCGCGAAACTCTCTGAATTGACTTCCTAGACTTTTCATCAGCAAGTCCAAGAAGTCAAGACTGGACGAAAGCTTCAGCTTCCTGCTGTCGTCCGAGGTCGAAGTAAATTTGTGGAAGACACGGTCGATATGTGACCGGTAGAGCTTGTCGAAAACTTCGGCGATGTCGAAGACTGTGCCATTAGCTGTGCTCGTCTAGGCAGGAGGGGCAACGCACGATGCATATCCCGCATATAATGGTCAAAAATGATGCTGGAAGCTACGACGGGAATGGCGAAGAACTCCAACATCTCGGTGGAGTCAACATGGTCAAGCAAATCAACCACACCCGCTTCGAGATATTGGCTTACAGGGCGCTTCACGCGCGTCGCTAGCGGCAGGTCCAACGGCGCTGGCACGGATGAGACAGTACTCGACGCCCGCTCCATCATTCTACAAAGTGTCTTGGCAGATAATATGCGTCCTGTCTGCTCACGCCTCTCCTGCACGCCGCTCACACCTGTTGCTAATTTGGCGCGGAAATCCTGCCAATCCGGTCGTTCGTGCGGAGTCCCTGTCATGCCGAGTCCAGCGACGCTAATGCCGGCGAATCGTGTCAACAAGGACGAGCCCGAACGACAGACTTCATCGAGACAGTCGCTGAGCTCTAAAATGATCTGCTTTTCCGACTTGCCATCTGATTCTTCGTCGATGAGAAGCAGCCGGGGAAGCACGGGACTGTCGGATGGAGGCCCGTCAGACAGCCACGAGGCAAGATGCCGGGCGATGCTACGGAGACCGCCAGCAATGTCTTTGACGAATATGCACACAACACCGGCAAACGGGAGAGCAAGCCTACTGATGGTCCAGTCCGCTGCGTGCTCAGCGCTTGTGGCCTGGGCTGCTGGTGGGAGGCGGTGGCGGACTACTTCGTGGCACCGCGGCGGACTGGGCCCTGCTGGGATACTCTTGCGGACGAGTACATCGGTTTCTACTATGAGCAGTGGCCTGCTTGTTTGTCCTTTCAGCAACCCCACG